GCGGTTTACCTTATTTTAGTCTAAATCTGAAACAGTAAATGCCATTCTTGATGACATTTGAAAGAGCTAGTTTCATCCATTGGTGGCTCTTTAGTGCATTTAAAGATGTTGGACAGTCTTAGTTGGCAGACTTTTCACAATTAGAGATTTCAACCTGTGTTCTGTTGTTAAATGTAGGCCTGTTTCTAGCAGAATTAATCGCCCTGGAACACACACACCTCGTCACGAAGAGCATATGCAGAATGTGCGCAGATTTCACGAATCACTGCAGCAAGCAGAAGGCAACGCACACCGGGCGGCAAAGATGGACTCATTATCGCTGTCATCGCGTGCTTCTCTTCTAACTGCTCTCAGGTAAAGCAGAGATATAGCCAACAAGGTAATTCAAAGCCTTAGGTTTGCAAAGCAGAGCTTGAAAGTGAAGAATTCTTGCATCCAATTCTAAAGGAAGTAAAAATGAAAACATATAGTAATTGTATATTAATGATTAAGAGGTATCAGTGAGATAGTGTCATTTACATCAGAATGAGATGAGATTGGAAAAGCAGGGACTAGGCAGGGAACTCTGCATCAGGGCTGAGGTGCTCTAGTGATGCTGTGAGTTTCTGAAGTGAAACAGCAGCAGCAGTGTTTTCAAATCTGGTTAGAATGCTTTGCTTTGTCCATCTTTGTACATCGGTAACACAACACACACTATTTATTAAGCCAATAGTCCTCTGTGTTGGTTCTCACAGACTCAAGAGCAAGCCTGTAAGCATTTTCGTGATGCATGGAGCAGGATTTCCTTTCCCAACAGGATGCTTTTCTCCTTACTGGAAGCACTTTTCTCTTGACTAGACTCTAGGTTTAAATCAGGTATAAATTTTAGAAGAATAATATTTATTATCCGTAGGAATATAGGACTGAAAGAGACTTTCTGAGTTATTCCATCCCTTCCCGTGCTACCACAAGCAATATATCATAAAATCCTTAGATCTTAAGCAGGTAGAAATCCTTAGATTTTTATCAAGCTCAGTCATAAAGGCAATTAATATCCTTGCCTTTATGACTTCTGTTGGAAGGCCATCTCAAATCCAACCTTCTTTGATTAAGTAAGTTTAAAACTAGCTCTTTTTTTTAACTTCCAGCCTAAATTTATTCATAGCTGATTCAGCATTTATTCTTTAGTAAGTGTTGTCCTTTTACTTAGACAGAGCAACATGAACACTTACCTACTGATCTATTTTTCAATACTAAACCTTAATCTTGTATTTGCATGTTTACACACTGTTGTCTGGAACAATAGACAGAACCAATAGAACCAATCTGCTGCAGGCTTTTTTTTCTCTTACCAAATTTCTTACCACTGCTTACAGAAAAAACTTGAGTGAGCTGGATGAGGTTCAAAGATACTTCAGTCAGAAGCTGACCAGGTCTTTTCCTGACTTCAGTTATGGTAACGCATCCAAACCAAGTCGTGAGGAGCGGGAGAGTGATCATCGGGGCTCGATGAGCAGAGAAGAGGATCCCAATGGATGCCATCTTTTGGAAAAATCTAGTCAATTGGTGTGTCAGGTCAGCAGCCTAATCAATGGTAAGTTGTCACTTGGTTTGGATTTTTTTGTCAGAAGCTGCCTTAAAGTATCTTGAAATTTCTTGCGTAATCGGGACCAGTTCCTGGTGTCGGTAATCAGCATGTGTTGGTCTGTTGGGAGAATGCTTCAGAGAGACTTTCAAACTCCTGTCAGTAATGGTAGTGTTGAACTGAAACATTCAGAAGGAAGATTAGGTGGGAGTTAGGGCCCTCTCTAGATAGCCTAAATTCTCCTTAAATTCCAATGTCTGTTCAGCAGAAGAAGGGAGGTCTTGCAGAAGAGCAATCCACAGAAGGGTACAGAGCTGAGTCTGTGGTTCTTTGCTAATAGGAACTGGCATATCTCTGTTTTCAGGTGAAATTTATGCCCTATGATGAATAGCTAAAATAAGGCTTTTTTAGGATATGTAAGACAAAGCTCTTAGTGAGCAGCTTCTTTTCTGTTTATCACCTTCAATACATTTCCTCTTTTAGAGGCATCAGCACAATTATTTTTCCCTATCGTTAGTGCTGTTGGACACAGAATGACATCCTTAATAAGGATGGAGTATGACACAACAGGGAAGGTAAACCATATCTCTTTGTACACCTTGTTTTCAGATGTACGTTTTTTCACTCTGCCTGGCATTTCTAACAGCTCTGTTGTAACCGCTCTTCATCTCAGCACTAGACCGCTCACTGGCTGCAGTTAATTTAATGTTAGCTTAACTGTTCATGCCACTCTGATCTCATACCAAAGGTGCTGTGAGTAGCAAAATGACTAGGAAATCAAATCCATGCTGGTCCTTTTAAAATAGTTTATCAGAGTAGAGAATAAACCGTGGCTCAGAGCGCTGCCAGTTGAAAAGTTATTCAGTGCTGTTTCTGCCTGTGGCTACCTACAGGGAAGCAGCGCTTTCAAGAGATGGAGTTGAAGGGCACGTTTCTATTATGCCAGAACTTGCCATTCTTATATCACCACCTTGATCTTCTCATTTTGTTTCTTTTTCTTCTCCAGGGTTTTGCTCTTTTTGTTCCCCTTCTCATCAGTTTACTGCTTCTTTACATGCTGTCCTCTACAATCTGTCTCAAACTCCTCCTTTTCCAAATCTTCTCCACCATTACCTTATAGCAAGACTTTTTCTCTTGCCTCGCAGTAGCAGTAGGTTGCCATTTAACCTAATAGTGGTGAACTAATTTCTCAAAGAATGCAAGAAATGAATAGGATCTGCTAACTAGGAACCAAAAATAGGTGACTGTGGCTATTTAAAGAATTTGTAAAATCCCCAGAGATTCTCAGGATTGTATAGATTTTATTGATGTTAGGCTCCTAATCCAATCACCTTTTTTCAGAGCCTGTGTTAGGAGCACAGGCAGCTCTCTGTTTTCAGACTCTACAATTTTACCACCACAACTGAGCAATAGCCTTGAGTGAATTTCTGTTTTACAAATATTTAATTGTCTGTCATTTGATTCGAGTTGGTAAATTGAACTGAAAGCTGGAGAATATCAGTAGGAACTGTGTCTTCTGGGCCCCTACATTAAACTGGGGAAGCTATGAGAGGAAAAGGTGGTAAGATTATCTGTCTTTCCTGTCTAGATTATTCCTCTCTCCTTCCCCATGTGGTCTGATCTGTCCACTGTTTTTAGCCACTCCAAGCAATAGGAATTTTTTCCATTTGCTTTAGGTGTACTCTGTATATCAGAGTATTTTCACTGTCCCAATTTTTTTTCTTTATATTGATGTAGGTATTTCTACTTATTTCCCAGTATTTCATCCTGAACATTTCCTTTTTTCATTAGCATTTCTGTCCTTGTCTCCTGGCCTTGTCAATAGTAGAGAGCAGAATGTGATCACATCAGCAGAGTGTTTGACAAAGCTGTGCATGTTTAACTCCTAACCATTCTTACATACCTGATTTTCTGCAGAAAGCCCAAATAAATCAGGTAAAAGGTGAGTTGTTGTTCTGTGCATTTACTGATGCTGTTTTCTGTTAATCAGACTTACAGACTATAACTAAAAATAGTAAAGAATCTTCTAATGTGCATCAAGACAGCAGCAGAAAGCTGGGTGCTACGTATGCACCCAGCCAGAAGGATGAAGAAGCCAGACCTGAAGTATGTCAAGGCCAACTTGAGTTGGACTCACCCAGCGTTTGCAGTGATACGCAGCAGCCATGCTCTTTTGGGAGATCTGTGTTTGAGAGACACATGTTGCATGAATTTCTAGACCAGGCCGTCCCTGAAGATGAGCATCCTTTGCCAATGGACTACATCCAGGAAGATGAAGGTGCTTTTGCCGTCCAGCCACACAGTGAAGAAGAATATGAAGAAGACGTTATAGAACCACGAACTCTTAACGAAATAACAACCATAACAGACAAAACTAGTCCCTGGTCCAGTGTGCTATCTGAAGTGGAGCAGGCTGCTGACCAGCAGCCCATAGACTTGGGGCCTGAAGATCAGCGCTTGGTGGATATAGATTGTTTCCAAACAGGAAACAGCAGACGGAGCAGCACCTTCTCTGGCATACTACAAGGTGACAACCAAAGCACGCTCACCGCCCTCAGCCCGTGCGTTAGCCTCCAGGCTTGGGCAGTAACAGAAGGCTTTCAAAGCTTGAGTAGTGGCACAGAAACAACGGATAAAGAGCTGTTTCAGCCTACTAATTTGTCAGAAGTGCATCGAACAGCCAATGGCCATGTAGAAAATGGAAATTGTGATTGGGACAGAGCATTTAACACTAAACCTGTAGAGCAAAATTTAGAGTTTCATGCAGTCTCCAAAGAACTACTGGAATTTCCACCAGATGTTGGTTTAACCAATGCAAAAAACACAGAAAGAGAGAAGGAGGAAAACAGTGAGGTTGTAGGTGAAGATTGTCAAGATGAGGAAGAAAGTGGTTCCGATGAGATCTGTGTTAAGAGTGTATCAGCCCAAGCAGGCTCGGAAGGAAACAGTGAAAGCTTTTCTGATGACAGTAGTGAAGACCCACTGGAAGAGTTAGAAAAGCCTGCCAAACCAAAAATTGTTTTGTATCCTTCTTTTCTCTTTTCTTAAGCACACATTGTATTCAAGGAGCCTGTCTTATTTCTTGGTTAGAATCTGACTGGCCTCAGGAAAGAAATTCACCGTGTGGAGCTCTTCCCTGGGAAATGAGTCTAGAATTGATGACCTGGGAAGGTAGTGGAAGACCTTGTCATGTTGTGTTTTGCGCAGCGTAGTGATGACTTCCTTACCATTTGTAACCAATATATTCTGTGATCCATGAGAGTTATTTCATTTTGGGTAGTTTCAACATGTTGTCTTGCATTTTTTTCCCCCCATGTTGGCACTATTATAGCTCTTGTGTTTCTTCTGTATTAAAAGAAACATAGTTTATTTTGCATTTAAAACACTTGCCACGTTTCTTGCACAGATCCCAAATCTCACATTCAGTTTCACTAAGTCGTGTTGGAATTTTTTCAGGATGAAGTACTCTACAAACATGTGAATTATTACTGTAAAGCAAGTTGGTGTCCATGCTCTGTGAGGCCAGGTGAGAGAAACAAGTGTTCAGAATGATAGAATATTGATTAAATGAATGAGATTCAGCATCTGGGATCCATTAACAGCTGTTACAGTGAGGCATTCCAAATCTGCAGCTCCTGTGGAGCTCTGTGCAACTACACGCTGCCAAAGGTTGTTCCTTAACAGTTCTGCTCAGATCTGATCCTGTTGTTGTTCCCAACTTCTTCCTTCCACCCCAGCAGATGGAAGCCTCCATGAGACTGCTCAGCATTTCTTCTCATCCTTCTGCAGCTCTGAAAGTAAGTATGGGACATCCTTTACTTTATTGTCCTAGCTTAACAGAGTCTGTTTGTCAAAGCAGGAACAAAAGTACTTCTCCCTTTCTTTGCCTGTCTGCGCTCAGGTTAGAAGTGATGGTTTCCAAATCAAGTCAAAGAGAATCTTTCTGATACCTCTTCTCTCTGTGAGAATCATTTTTAACATTCATGGCTGCGTCGTCGGTGATACTTATGCATTTATGTTAACCGGTTTGTCTATATACAATGGCAAATGTTGCTCTTCTCCATTGGGGTCAGTAGAAGTGGCAGGTGCTCACTCCACACTTCTCTGTGCTTTAATGGGAGGTAAGGTGCCTAATTTTGAGGACACAAGCTGTAACTTGTAATTATGACTCCAATTTATATCTTTTAGGTCAGGGTGAAATGAGGGAGTTTGCAGCAAGAGAGCCTCTCCTTGAGAGGTATCAAGTAACTGTTCTTTGATGGAGGGAATAGTAAAATAGTTGGAGTGATCGTTCCTCATACCGGAACGCTGTTGATTGCTTGCTGTTTCATAGGTGGTTTTATGTGCATAAACATCAATTTACTGCAAGAGGTTTGTGGCTCAGTTGTTTTGAGGTCTACATATTATTCTTTTCCAGCCATAGCTTTGCTGCGGATGTTGATGTGGACCTGGGCACTGCAGCAGCTGGGCTGTTTGTTTACCACTCCCAGAAAAGATAATGTGTTGGTTCCCCTCCTTATGACCTATGAAACAAATGCTGTAAGGAACATTTATGTAATTAGAAACAGCTTGTTTGATTAAATAGAACAGAAACAGGCAGGATCTAATAGTGCTGAAGTAATGGAAACTACTTTAAATTAATGAACGTGTTTACAGCTCAGGTAATATACCTGACTTTTTGCTGATTCGTGTTGTAAAAATTATTTTTCTTCTGATTTACTTAACATTATCTTCTCCTAAAGCCCTTGAAACTTATTCCTGATGAAAGCAGAGACCTCTATGAGGGAGTCTTGGGCATAGTATGCTTTAAGGATCCTAAGATGTATCTTGATTATAGCACCTAGACTGCAGTGTGTCTTAGTGTTTGTTAAGCATACTTTTCATGCTGTGTCTAAATATTTTGGATTAAATCAGAAGCAGAATCTCAGATGTGTTTCTCCTCTGGAATCTCCTTCAAATTCTCTGTGTTTGCCTCTGTCACTGATACCCCCTTCCCCTCTATCTTGCTGTCATGCCCCCACTTCTGAGTTTTGCTTTCTCTGCAGAGTTAGCTCTGGTTCTTCCTGTGGAAGCACCACGTCTTTCTGTGCATCTGCAAATCATCACTCAAACCTACGGTTTGATATTAAAACCATCTTTACTTGAATTCCCTCTCTCCGCAGTGCTAAGCTTAGTGGCTAGAAACACACTCCTGAAAGTGGTTAATAATTAGGGAGAATATTAGCACTATTTGGATATAGCTGACCTTAAACCAGCTTAATTCCAGGATTAGCTACAGCTAATCCTTCACTGTAGCACTTGTAGGGGTCTGTTGAGACAGGACTCAGTTGTGCCTCGTGTTGTGCCCCCAGCATCAAACACCCTGTATGAAAAACAAGAAGTTTATGCCAATGGTAAAACAGAGTTCAGGAAAACTGCTTTCTCATAATTTTGTCCTTAATTAGCCTTAAGAACATCAGTTTCTAAATCTGGGTTTGTTTGGTTTCTGTGCCGTTCAGCAAACACAGAGCGTGACAGCAAGGCTGAAATTGGAGCTGTTCTCGTCTGAAGATCAGCAGTCCCCTCTCGCTCACGTGGCAGCTGGCAAACCTCTCTCCTGGCCTCCCTAGTGTTCCTGCCTCCTCTCCCTGTCTTGTCTGACTCCCCAGTTTCCCTGTCTTCCTACGCAAAATGATAAAGAAACAGCTAGGAGGCGAAGCGGGCAGCCACGTCAAGTGAGCTGGCAGCATTTTGAGACAAAAGGGTTTTCTCAGCTCATGCTGTGAGGGCATGGGGATCTGAGAAGGTGCTGCAGCAGCTCAAGCCTTAGCCTGGATGCTGTGGTCACCTTCCAGGGACCTGAGTTTTGCAGACCCTCATGAAATGGGAAATTTTTTTACCTTTTTTCTCCATTCCATCAGACTCAGGCTTCCAGTTCTTGAGGTCTTTCCCAGCTCTCCTCTTCCACACTGGTCACCTGCTGTCCTGTCTGATCCATAAGTCCTGGTTCAACTTCTGATGCTTTACAAGTTCAGTGATCAGCTTTCCATTTTTCTCCTCGTAGCCCATCTCCAGGCAGTTCCTGATTCAACTTAGGGAAAATTATCCAAGTTCATGGCTGAACTTAACGGCATCCAACACTATCGTATTTACTGTAAAGCTACAACTATTTTTTAAATCAGTCTGAGCCATTGTGTAGGTGGCCCAGATTACTATCCAAATCTTATTTCTGACTGCTGCCCCTGGCCTCCCTTCTCCTCCCTCTTTGCCTTTACTGCGTTCATACGTTCCATGTTGTTTTATATACTGTCGGTGATTTTTCAAGGCAAAAACTTAATCTCTCTAGGTGTGTGTTTCACACAGAGGGCACTGCAACATCGATTCTGGTCAGGGTTTGGGGCAATCATATGCTAGGGTAAAAACATTTAAATGTGATTCTAATGAGATGCTGGCTGGGAAACCGATATTAAGGCTTGCTGCCTTTCAGAATTGGCCCAGTCTACTGGTAATGAAGCTGGGTTTTTGCAGGGCAGGAGGAAGTATTCAAAAAATTGGAGAGTTAATAAACTTTTCATTAGAATATTGTGATTTCCCCCCCCCTCACCTCTATGAATATTCCAAAAGGATAGGAAACTTATATGGAAACCAGTTTTACTCAGAATAATTAATATTTGTATATACATAGATCTAACTTCAGTGTAAATTATAAATAACACTTTTATAACACAGACTTAGGCGGATTCAGAATAACAGGCTTTTATCTGTTCTAAAAATACAGATGGCTAGCAACGGTCCAAACATCCTTTCTTGGTTGTAATGCTGCTTCTTGATCTGCTCCCATTTCAGTCGCAGCCACTAAAGCTCTTCTTTTTCCTTACTCAGCTTACCCAGAGAACAGAGCTAAGGCTTTGACTCGCTAAATTTGTCCTCCGAACCTGCTGAACAGAAATGCTGATGTTGTCTTTCATTTTCACAATCAGAAAAAAAAGAAAAGGTGGCTGTGTTCTTCGCATCCATTTCGGAGTTGCTGGCTGTGGTCTGTGATTTCATACAAACCTTTTCCTGTCCAGAAAGCAGAAGTAGGTGCAAGGTCACTCCAGGGGTAGGTTGTAGCCTATTAACACAGATCTGTTTTCACTCCTTCATCACTGTGTGCAAACAAAACTAGCCATTAAACTTGCTGAGCCACAGGGCTGAAACATTCTCTGCCTTGGTTACCAGAATTCTTTGACCTTGAAATAAGCAACATACACACCCCAAGATGTATAAAATGCTAATAAATCTGTTTGCTTTACTCCAATCCCTGGAACACAGCAATTAGATAATCCTTGGCTGGTTTAACTGTCCTGCCGTATCGCTGCCATTTCTATAAAAAGAAAAGTGAAGCATGATCTTCTGTGTGCAAGTCCTCTTTCCTCTTGTACCTTTCTGATTAAATGTGTGCGCTTCATGGCTGAGCATCAGACACTTGGAGTGTGTGACTCTGTTGGCTTAGAAGAAGGAGAAACCCAGGGCAAGCACTGCTTGTGCTCAGGTCGTATCCGAACTGGCAAAGCCTGTTTCAGAGGCAACAAACGGTGTAAACATGACATTTCAGTTGTGTGCTCTCGAAACTATGCAGAAGGTTAAAATTTTTGACTGTTTGAAACAGCCTGTTTGATGTATCAAAGGAACATCTTAAAAATGCAGCATTGAGGCTAGAATGTCTTGCTAAATGTTATGTGTGTGAGGAATTTGCATATTTCAAAGAAAAATAGCTTTATACAGATGTAAGTATAGAAGTGTAGCTCTTTCCTATAGCCATATCCCAAAACTGTCAGTGAAACTAAACCTGCAAGTGTAATTTCGTAAGGCTTCTGATCATCTGTGTGAGCTGGGAGTGTTAAATGTGGTTTTAAACTTCTCTCATTTTGGTTCACACCTGTGCCTGTAGAATAGCAGCAAGAAATGCTGCTAAACCTTTCCCACAGCTGGAAGTTCATTTTTAGGAAGGTCCTTTGGATAGATACATGCCTCTTCACACCTCTGCGTTGCTGCAAATAGACATGGTGGTATGAAAATTGGAGGGAGGAGTATTTTAGCCACTTCTATCTGAAACAGTATGCAAGCAGTATGTTTTCCAAACACACCTTGTTTACTGACAGTCCGGAGCATGTGAACTGTTATCCGTCGCCTCGGTGTCATCTGATAGCAGCAGACACCTGCTCTTCTGTGGTATTTTCGCTTTTAGAGTACAGTGCTCTTTCAAGGTATGTTATTGCACTGACGGCAAAATGCGAGCGAGGGGCAGTATTTTCTGCAGCAGCCTCTTTGGCCGACCAGAGTTGATCAGGAACAATTCGGTTTGTGACATGCCCCTGGCTTCACTTGAGGCAGGAGAAGTACTGTGGCACCTCTGGATTGTTAACTCTAAGAACAAAAGAGAAAATCTCATTTAATTTCTCATTTAGAGGGTAAGATTATTTTACAGCTGGTTTGGGTCACTGGGTTTGTGCAAGCCAAAAAAACCCGTCGTTTCATTTCTGCACAAATACTCAGCTGTGCTGCCTCTGGGATGGTAGGTGGGTCTGGGATTCTTAAGGTAGTTTGGTTCTATTTTCCTTTATCTTTTCCCACATGATATGTTACCTTCTCTTCTGAGTTGCAGGACATGCAGCTGCTCTCACTGAAATTTGTTAGAAATGTCCTGTTGGGTCAGTGAAAGCCATCTGTGTTTATTTCTTGCATTCAAAATGTGAGTTGCTGTCTCTCAGTTCCCAGCTGTGCATGAAGATGTGTGTAGGACAAGTATGCGTGAGAGGGGAATTGTGAGAGGTAGGAAGTGCAGTTTCGTGACCCTTTGAAATAGGGTTAATTGGATGGTTTGGAGAATTTGATAGGGAGCCATTGCTACAGTGTAAACCTGCCTCGGTTTTAATATTGCAGTTAGTTCCTGCAAGCTTTTCACATGCACGTAGTTGTTCAGACAATCTTTTTTAGGTATGTTAGTGGTATAGCCTCCTCCAGGGTAGAACAGGACAAACAACATCGCAACTGGAAGGAAAGGAGAGTTTCTGAAGTACAGTGCCGGTGCAGAGAAGCATCGCAGGGTTGTCTAGCTGCCATTTGGCCAGTGTATCAGATTTAAGAGCCAGAATTTCCTTGTTTTTTTGTTTTTGTTACAGTTACAGACCTTCCTGGGCCAAGGGATAGGGCGATCCATACCGGTTCTTTGCAAATATATAAAACTGGTGTTCAGAAGCAAATGCTGCTTGATGCACTAAAACCAGAACCCTTTTACCAGTCCTCTGAGCTTTCACTTTGAACATTTTTTCTCTATTAACTGCTTACGAATGCTGTACAAAGATCAGGGGCCAGCACAGAGCCAGCGTGAGCTGGTTACTGTCCGTCTCCAGCCAATACTCATGTTTCAGCTGTTTCATAGACAGTTGGCACAGAAAACAGTATGGGAAGAATAAGCTACTGACAGGGTCTTCTCTGGACAACCTTGAGCAGAATATGCTGTCAAAAGGAGTTGGTTTGTCCAACAAGCATCTCTCTCTTGTGGTTTTTAAGCTCCTAATGTTGCCAGGTCTGCATTTAATCTCTCTCGGCGTCTTACATTTTGCTTTAGGAAAAATCATCCTAGAGCAGCATTAAGGAGAAAGAAAAACAAAGCAAGGATTCTCATAAATATAGATGTATATTTTTCAGTATGATAATTGTGGGCACTGTTTTAAATTACTACAAGCCATAGCATTTTCCTGGATACAGTTTGAAGTCTTTTGCAGCACTATTCACATAATTTACACAATTAGCCCAATGAAACTAGGAGATGGTATTTAGGGTATAGGAATTTATGGTTAGCTTGTTGGAAGCCTTTTCTGCACTGTTGGATGTGAAACCACGCGAGCTGTTCCCACCCTTGTCATCCTTTTTATTAACCAGCCAGCCAGCGACCAAAACCATCATCTTTGTGAGCATTGATCTGTCTCCCAAATCTGGCTGCGCAGGAGCAGGCTGGGTCAGCGTATCTGAAAATGGTCCATTAGGAAATCTTGGTCTGTGGTTACAGCCTCTCGTGGTCTTGTCTGTTTGCAGAAATTGTAGCTGGTGTTAAATTAGCTTACAGTTAGCCTCTTGTGCTTTGCCCTGGCTCTAGCAAACACAGGATGTATAGATCAGGGTGTGTTTTTTATCTGCAGACTGTTTTCCCATAAGGGTCTTCACCAGCAATGCCGTCGCAGGGCTAATACTCAATGTGCTTATCATCTGAGCCTGTAAAGTGCAGGTAACCAAACACAAGAAATCTCCAAACCCACTTATTCCTAAAAAAGCCATTCCCCCCCCCCCCAAACAGTGCACATCAAAGCGGGGAGCGCACATGAACAGGATCCTGGTGCCGTTTCTCATGGGAGGGAGCTGATCACCTCAGGAGACCTTTCCACCACGACTGTGCCCAGCGAGGCTGAGCCCGGCTGGGATGGAGAAGCAGCCCAGCGATGTAGGGGAAAGGCCGGACCATCGTATTGGCTTTCCAAATCAACCCTGCTTGCCAGCAGACTGTCCTGGCCCTGCAGCTAATGAGCAGCATGTCCTAAATGAGCACCGCTTGCTTCAGCCTCTAAAGGCAGCTGAGGCCGGATTTCTCCTTTCTCGGTGTTTCACAGGCACAACCTGGCTCTAAACTAGTTGGGGAGAAATGCGAGTTTCTTTGAACGCTGAAATTATCTGCCCTGGGAGAAAGCCTGACTGCTGGGAGGATGCATGCAAACCAAGGATGATGTTAAAATGCTTAAAATGGTGGTTTTCATCTCATGGGCTTCCGCTGCTTAGGGGTCCCTGCAGGCAACTGAGACCGGCCCATCTAGTTTGTCAGCAGGCTTGGATTTGTTTTGTAGGAGCCTTTCCTCTCCATTGCAAGGTGGTTCTGCAAATTAAAAATAAAATAATAGTCGAAAACCAAAATTCAGAGAATCAGAGCCCAGTGAACACACTGGTGTAATTCCTTTTGGCTTTATACAAGATGACTTTGGCTGAGGATAGAGATTCACAAATTCAGAGTTCACTTGCCAGAGTCAAACTGTGTGGCTTGGACCTTTCTAATTTTGGTCTTCAGCTTTTGCTTTCTGCAGCATTGAGAAAGAATAGCATTGCAGCACCTAATATTGTGTTGGGCAGGGAAATATTTCATCATCGTGGATTTTTTTCCAAACAGTTGGAGCAAACAGGTCTTTTTCCAAACAGTTGTCTCTCAGCGTGCGGAACAAGAGAAAAAAAATCCTCCGAGGAGAACCAGTGAGCAACAGAAAACACATCATGAGGGTTTTTTCCTGTGTGTCCAACTCCTTGCACGCTGCATGATGCCGTGGTTTGCCACAATCAGAAAACAGGCGCGGGGCAGAACTGGCAGGGCTCTAACGTCTTGTTCCTTCTCTCCGCAGAGCAGAAGCAGAGCAGTGCCAGGGGGGATCCCGTACCGAAGGCCGAATCGTCCCAGGCCCGCGGCCGATCTCTCAGAAGAGGAAACCAAAAGAATCGCCAGGATCTTCTCTGCTCAGCTGTCCAAGAAGGAATAGCATTGGCGAGAGGCTGCCTGCAGCGGCTGCTTCCCGAGACACAGCCTGACGCATCAGCAATGCTGGGGCCTCCAGGGAAGAGGAGATGGAAGCCATAGGTTTCAGGATCTGATTTTTAATTTGCCTAATTGGTATCCCATTAGAGAGACTTAAAGCCTGGTGGTCAACCAAGGGGAGCTGAGAGACTTTGTGTCTTGCAAGGGCAAGTCCCCACTGAGTCTCAACACTTCGGGTAACTGATGAGCTGTTATCTGGTCTCCAGATAATCCATTTTGGGGATTTATTCATTTGAAATTCATTAACCTTTTTTTTTTTTTTTGAGTAAACACAAAGCATCCCATTTTGAGACAGCTCCTTTTACTTCAGCCAAAGGATGGAGAACGTGAGAAATTTGCCATCCCATCGGCAAGCAGAGAACTGTTGCCTCCCTGCTGGCGTGTGCTGTGGATGGGGAGGGAAGATGAGCTCCCTCCCCCAGTGACCTTCCGAAAATAGTTGGTGGGAAGTGTAATTTTCTGATTCTAGAGGAATGTATGTGCTCAAGGTGCTTGTGTAAATACAGGCCAAGGATACTGTAAAATACTGATGTGTGTACAAAAGGGGTTTACTAGAAATATGGAACTTTTATATTCTAAATTATTTTTGTACATTTTTATGTCAGGTACCTTTTGGATAACAGACTTTGATGCGAACCGAGCTAAGTTATTTTTGTACTGCTCTCCAGTGTTTGTGTTTCAATAAAATTCCCTTGGTTTCTTGTCGGCTGGTGCAAATTGTCCCGCTGCCAGGTCACGAGCTTGTCATTAACAGGTGGACGGGACTCCTTCCCCCAAGAGCCTCCAGTAACGAGCGGGAGAGAACATCATGGAAATGATTCCTGGAAGATGGTGTGGCCAGGGGCAGATGTAAAGGTCACTGCTTTGCAAAGTAATGGAATACCGCTGTATAGTGCAGCCCACATGGAACGAATCGGATCTCGGAGGCGAGCGAATGCTCCAAATTAGAGCTGCTTTTCAAACCACGCTTTGAATTGAGGATTTAAGGAACCAAAGTGTCAGCATCCCTTTTTCCTCCCATCTCTGCGGTTTTGTTTTTCACAGAGGAAATCCTAAATGCATTAACACACAACTTGCCTGTGCTGGGTTAGACCCCAGTGGTAAAATCCCTTCTGCCCTTCCTGCACGCTGCCTGCAGAGCTCTGAGCCTCCTGCAAGCTGCCCCTCGCAGCCTCAGCAGCCCCCATCCTCTCTCCTGCAAATGCATCCCCTTGCTGGGCGAGGGTCAGGATGTGAACATGTGTCCTGAGTGTCCCCAAAAACCCAGGTGGGATGCTGGCTGGGTCGGGAACACGGTTATAGGGGAGGAGACGATGTTGACTCGCGTTATATTTAGGGTGTGAGATAAACAACTTCTTTCTCTTATGTTTAGGTCGGTGGTGGAGCACGGTCCAGCCAGCCAGGAAAACATGACAGCCGCCAGCCGGAGAGGGGTGTCAGCGCCAGATGTGCTTCTGCCTGGAGCCCGATCAAGGGAGCAAAGGTGACTTCAGGGTATCAAACCAGCTTGAAATCCCTCCTGTGTGCTCGTGCGCAAGGCGAGCTCGCACGCAAGAGTGGAAGCTTTCTACACGTCAACGGGGACGTGCAATCTCTTGCGAACGTGTGTGTAGTGCTAAATAGCATGAAGGGTTAAACACACTGAGTTTTAAGAAAAAGGAGGAAAAGGGGAATTCCTTGAGCTGTCACCCTACCCTTGGCCTCCAGCCTCATCCTGAGCCCTGTCCCTCCTGGCAGCACCTTCCCCTTGACCACAGACCCAGCACACGGCCACACGTGAAAGGGCATCATGGTTTTCATCATGCAGAGCACAAACACGGGAGGGATTTACCTCCGAGCCACGCGCGTGGCCCCTGCCCTCCGGCTGGTCCATGTGAGCTTGGGGGACACGTTGCACCGTGCAGAGGAAATCCCGCCGACAAGCTTGGCAGCTGCCTGGGATGAATTCCAGCTGCGTGGTCCGTGCCAGGGGCAAAGGGGGCGGGGGGCAGTGTTCGGTGCTGCTCTGCCTCTGAACTGCTTGCTTTTAAAGCCTTGGGCAAGTGTTTTCTGCATCTTGTCCTTCCCAGAGTGCCTTTAGGTTAAAAAACCATATGACTCCCCCATTCCTGAGGTCCCAGCTGCCACCAAATGGGCAGGACCGCATTGTTGGGTGCTGCTGCCCCACAGCTTTACTCTGATGGGTGCTGGTGGTCTGGGCAGGACACACACACCCCCACACTCCCCCCCCCATGCCCAAGTCCTGTGGGGGAGCAGAGGGCTGAAACACAGCCACCCTGTCATGGGTGCTGGGTGGCCCCAGTCTCATCGGCTCAAATGCCACTGGGGGAACTGGGTTTCACTGTCACCTGATCCTGGCGGCTGCTGGAATCTCCTCCCGCGTGCTATATAAAGGGGGGGCCAAGGAGTTGGCTCTCAGGGCAATGGCTGCGCAGAGAGGGGTGTAAGGCAGGAGCCAGGACATAGTGCTGAACTCCCTACGGTGAGGCCATGGGGGACCTGGCCCTGGGCAGGTCACCCTGGGGGAGACGCTCTCACCAAGCACCCCCCCATTTTGGCTGGGGGGCGGATAGGGCAGGGTGGGCAGTGGTGAATCCCATGCCAGCCCCCAGCTGAGTGAGGAAGCCCCGTGCCTGAGTTTCCCCAGGGATGCAGGCACAGAAATGGGGCAGGATTTGGCTTTTGGGGTTGTCCGAAGCCAGCGAGAGCCACTGGGGCACATTGTCACCTCCAACCCCAAACCGGACACCTGCTTGAAGCCGACGCAGCATCCTGGCTCCGCACAAACCCCCTCCCCTTTCCTTCCAGCCCTTCTGCCACAATGGTGGGTCTGAAGCCCCCCGAGGTGCCCCCGACAGCCGCCATGAAGTTTGTCAGCGCCGGGGTGGCTGGCTGCATTGCTGACCTCTGCACCTTCCCCCTGGACACTGCCAAAGTGCGGCTGCAGGTACGATCTGCCAACCCCCCCATCCCCAAATCCCACAGGTGGAGGGAGCACCCCACAACAGTCAGCCCGCCCCCCCCGCCAGCTCCACCCCAGAGCTGGTGGCGTTTTTTGGGGAGGTGTGGGCAGAGGGCAGGGTGACGCAGTTGACATCCTGCAGATCCAAGGCGAGGTGCGGATCCCCCGGAGCATCGGCACTGTGGAGTACCGCGGTGTTTTGGGGACGCTGAGCACCATGGTGAGGATGGAGGGACCCCGCAGCCTCTACAGCGGGCTGGTGGCCGGGCTGCAGCGGCAGATGAGCTTCGCCTCCATCCGCATCGGGCTGTACGACTCGGTGAAGCAGCTCTACACCCCCAAGGGTGCCGAAAGTGAGTGTCCAGGCGGTCGGGACCCCGTCCCTGCACACCCCCCCCCTCCCGATGCACGACCCTCTCCCAGAGCACCCCGATGGGAAGCAGCCCACCCCGGGCAGGGGGGAGTGAACAACCCACCCTGGGTGCACAACCCCCATGGAGACGCCCCCCCTGCTAAGCAACCCCCCCACCCCACCCCAGACCCCTCGCCCTGGGGGTCCCCACGCAGCCGGGGGGGTCCCCACAGGGCCGGCGGTCCCAGCGCCTGCCCTCTCCAGGCACAGGGCTGGCAGCGCGGGTGCTGGCGGGCTGCACCACGGGGGCAGTGGCGGTGACGTGCGCCCAGCCCACCGACGTGGTCAAGGTACGGTTCCAGGCCAACGGGGCGCAGCCGGACGGCGTCCGCCGGTACAGCGGCACCATGGATGCCTACCGCACCATCGCCAGGGAGGAGGGCATCCGTGGGCTCTGGAGAGGTAGGGGAGGATGGGGACAGGGATGAAATGGGGATGGGGACAGCAAGGCTGGAGCACCCATCCGGGATGCTCCAGGAGGGGATGCAACCGCCCTCCCCAATGCCACCACCTTCCCGTGCAGGGACACTGCCCAACATCGCCCGCAACGCCATCATCAACTGCGGGGAGCTCGTCACCTACGACCTCATTAAGGATGCGCTGCTGCGGGCGCACCTGATGACAGGTGAGGATGGTGCCGGGCTGGGGGGTGAACGCAGCTGGGCGCCATCCCCGTCCCCGCGACCCTCAACCCCTGCCTCTGCACCACAGACAATGTCCCCTGCCACTTCGTGGCCGCCTTCGGGGCCGGCTTCTGCGCCACAGTGGTGGCGTCACCAGTGGATGTGGTGAAGACACGGTACATGAACGCCGGTCCCGGGCAGTACCGGAATGTGCTCAGCTGCTTCCTGGCCCTGCTGATGCAGGACGGCCTCGCCGGCTTCTACAAGGGGTGAGTTTGGGGACGTGCCCCTACTGAGCACTGCCAAACTCAGCGCAACGATGCGCACGGACACTGGCGTGGGCCGGCTTTGCTTCACACTGCAGCATCATCCAAACATCCTAACCCATGTGCCGCCACCGGAGCGCCAGGCAGGGCGTTGGGGACCGCAGGGGTGTCCCCGTGACGTCCCCTCCAGCGCTGCTTTTCCTGGCGCAGGTTCATCCCCTCCTTCCTGCGGCTCGGCTCCTGGAACGTGGTGATGTTTGTCTCCTACGAGCAGCTGCAGCGTGTCGCGGTGCTGGCCCGGCCGGCCCAATCCTGACCCCCATCCCACCCCAGCCCCTCTCGCCAGCATTGGTGAGACACAGGAGTAAATTATATTAATTGCTGAAGCGGCAAAGGAGCAGCGACGCTGCACACCCCCAACCCGATGGGGATCCCCCCGAGAGGGACCAGCGAGATGAAAGGACAAATGACAATGTTTGTGGAGAAATGTGGAAAAACGGAGGTTTCCAGAGGGGAGTTGAGGGAGGAAGAAAAAAAAGCTTATAGGTTTTCCAGGAGGGAAGAGCATCGCTTCCCAGTGGCGGCAGCGGGAACAAGGCGAGCAGCGTGAGCAGGTGGAACTGATTCGAAGACCAGAGGATGCAGCGATTCCTGTTGTGCCTTAGTGACGCTTCCAATAAACCGCCCCTATGGGGTCTGATCACAGCAGGGCTCAGGCCTCCCTCGCCTTTTTTTGGGGGGGAGGGGGGTAGGGTCATTCTCCCAGCCCTGGCGTGCTGCTGGAAAAGGCAAACCAGCCTTT